AAAAGACTACACAAGCTTACTAGTTAGAGCAGGGCTGACAGAAGTTTAAAATTTGTTTTGCATTTGTTGTATTCCATTCTTGTTCCTTCAGGGACCCTTCGCACACAGATTTTTTAAAAATTTTTTTCTCCACCTCGGAAATCTAAGCGCTATTCGTGCATAGTGAAGCTGGCTCCAGAAACACCAGCACCCGCTTCCTGGCTGTTGGTCTGCACACTGCTTCAGCCCCCACATTTCTATACTGTACATCACAGCCAGCAAATGCATGGCACTGACTATTCATTCGCTCAGGCACTTAGCTGTGTCTAGGCCTTGGAAAGAAACTCCTTCATTTGATTGGGTGGGACACCGATAATTTAGCCCCTGCAGCAAGTAACCAATTCCATCAGCAAGGTTCTCTCTAAGCAGAACTGGATTTTCTCCTGAGTTGCTCTCTCCGCTGGGTCAGAGAATGACAATACATATGAAGCAGGGCTCCTCGACACCCAGAGCGCCATTCCAGGAGTTCGTCCCCAAGCAAATCGCAGTGTCTTGGATGCGTATTATTTTCTTTAAAATTTCTGGTTCTGAAAGAAAAGCGAGCAGCTCCTTTACTTTCGGTGAGGAGTCCACAGGGAAATCATCTAGTAGCTTGTTCTCAAAGTATGTCCTGTCCAAAAATAGACTGTGCGTCAAGTTCTAGTAGATTTGATGGATTTGAACAGTCTGTCTTCTCCACACAGAAGTTTCAATTTTTCTAGAACTGCAGAAGCCTGAGTTAAAAAGCGATCACAATGCAAAGAAGAGGTCAGCTTCTAGGCATTCTGTGGGTTTTAATGAACATGCTCCGTCTTTGCCGGCGGCCTGCTCGAGCTGGCGTACGTGGTCCTGAGCTAGTTCGCCGAGCTGCTCAGCTGCCTCACTACATGAGAGCCTGCATCCCCCAAGGCTACAACGGAGGGCGTGCCCAGCCACGTGACCAAGCGGGCCAGTGGTCACCTCATCCCTGGGGAGGTGGTGTGAGGGTGGAGTTCACTCGGTTGGAACACCAGGTCCCTGCATTTTGTTGGAATTGACTGCCTATCCTCGACCCTGGAAGTGAGCCCACAGCCAAGGAGCTGCGTGTTCTAAGAGAAGCAGAGGTCCCCGTGATGTCATCGATGTCCTGGTTCAGTCCCACGGAGGATGGTACAGTCCATGAGGCGAAGTCTTCGGCCACAAGGCTGTGGCAAATGGTAAGGCTGTGGCAAACGGTAAGGCTGTGCGGGTGACCTTGAGGCAGAACGTGAAAGGTCCACCTGCAGCCTCCCCAGGTGAATGCAAAGTGGCCCTGGCTTTCAGGATCAATGTCAACAGAGAACAAGGTGTCAAGGCGTTATCTCAGTCCAATACCTGATGGTATGCGCCCAGCTCAGGGCCAAGCTGGTCCGGGAGGCTAGCTATGTTAGGCACAGCTGCAAAGAGAGGGGGAATTACTGTACCTAGTGCTCCGTAATCTATGGTCGCGGGCCAAGTGCCACCCTGTTTTGGGACAGGCCACGCAAGCACGTTGCATGGGCTGTGGGCCGGTCTGGTGATGTTCACCTTAGCCAATTCTGTGGTCTCCCCAATCTCCTTACGGCCACCCGGAAGGTGGTATTGTTTGCTGGCCACTATTTTACGGGGAGTGGGGAGTGGCACGGGGGCAGTCTGGCATGCCCCCTCCAAACAGCCCTCACAGCCTTTACTTTGAGGCAAAATTCCCCCAACGTGGTCTGCAGGCACATGCCAGCTGGAACGTCAGTTCCTAGGATATATTCTCAGGGGTAGGGGAACAGACTCCCTCTAGGGGCGTGGTGGTGAACGCCCCATTCCAAGAGTGGGTGTTACAGCCCGCACCCGAATGGACTGTCCTCCATAGCCGTGGATGGCAGTTAAGGCTCCCCTAAATCTCTCTGGGTTACCATAAGGAGAGAACCTTCTGCACCAGTATTAACTAAAGCCAACACTCTGTACATTCTTTGGGACCAGTAAATAGCAAGTTCTACCTGTGGCCTCTGGCCCCCACTGGGTCCCCATAAGCGGGTCCCTTGGCCATCCCTCTATGCAAAGACCCCTCCCCAAGGACCGTCCTCCGGATGGACCAGAGGCAGCTCCATAAGCAGGTCAGCCATGAAGTCAGCTGAGCAGGGCATTGGCTCTGGGGGCGCCAACAGGACCGATCCAGCTGTCCATTCCAATGCTGGGACAGCAGATGTCATTTTGGGCTGGAACTGGTGCTCAGGTTTCGGTTGCTGCCACAAACTTACAGCACTGCTCTCAGCCTTCTTGTCTATCTCATCTTTAGCTACCCCAGCCTACCCCAGATCTTTCATCGTTGTTTGCAGGTTTTGCTCTCACTGGACCTTTCTGCTGAGGTTGTCCAGCTGGATTCTCCCCCTTTTTTCCTTCCTTGACCTTTTCCACCTGTCTTATTCCTGTCTTTTGTCTCCCCCAATCCCAGGTATACACCGTACTATACAGTACAGTAGAGTAGCTCTACTTCCCCCAGGTCGGCAACCGTCTGTGCCAGTTCTTGTACAAGATCACCCACCTTGGTGGACACAGTGGGTACCAGGGCGCCGGAGCAAGTGGGGGTGCTCTTTGCGCAACCCGGTCCCTCATTCCCGCAGTAAATCTTTCCATATCTGGCCCACTGGACCGTGGGTTATAGATGCTGTGCTGCATGCCCAGCTCCCAGATGAACTGCTGGAGTTTCAGTAAACTGTTCCTGCGTGGGTTAGGGGAGGGGAGGTCCCCCTCATTAGGCCACGCCACCCTACAGCCAGCCATTGGGCACATAAGTAGGGTATTTGTGTGACCGGCTTGGGCTCTGGCTCCATGAATTCTTTCTTTCAAAGACAGATGGGTGGTGACAGAAGACATAGGTTTTATTTGATTTTTTCAATATTTTACTTATTTATTTTTAATAAATAAAGAGAGAGAAAGGGAATGGGTGAGGTAGAGAAACATCAATGCATGGTTGCCTCTCATGTGCCCCATACTGGGGATCTGGCCTGCAGCCCAGGCATGTGCCCTGCCTGGGAATTGAACCAGCGGCCCTTTGGTTCACAGTCTGGTGCTCGATCCACCGAGCCACAACAGCAAGCGCAGAAGACATAGGTTTTAATTCATCCCCCCGAAAGCAAAAAGCCATCAGCCCCTGTATCCCACAGCCTCAACAGCCACCCTGTGACGGACCCGGGCCCTTTCTGTCTGAACTCAGCAGCCAGCTCTCCTGGCCCGGCAGGGGTGTAGGGATGCACCGCAGTGTGCGAGGCCTGCTGGGGAGGCGGCACGGCAGCGCCCTGTGGCGCCCCCGTTGTTGGGTCTTAATCTTCTCAGTCGTAATCAGAGGAGCCAAGTTTCCCTTCTCCCACCTCCGTGGCCTCCTCGCTCTCATCTATTTCTCCACCTCAGGCACTTTCACTTTCAGCCATAAGATCCCACTTGCGAGGATTCCAGTCCATATATGGGTGGGTGCTCGCAAAGCCGCACCTTAGTCTGTTCTAATTGCCTCCCTAGGGCGTCCTATTGCTTGCCATTAGGAGATGCGTGTTCCTTTCTAGTTTTATTCTCTCTTCTAACACGCAGCAGCCTCCTCTGCTTCCATCCGTGTCTCAGTTCCTCTCTGTAGCCCTGCCAACATTAACCAGCCCACAGCGGCGGCCACACGGGGGAGGTCTTTCTTTTTCCCCAGGGCGCACTGTTCTCCCTGCTGCAAGGCTTGTAGGAGGCCATCGGGAGTTTCAGGGGTGTCCCCCAATCCCATGGCGGCCCCATATATCAAGGTTTGCCACCTCGTACCACAGAGAACTCGCTGGCCAGCCCGGGATTCCTCCCGGCATCCGCCCACTCAGCATAGTGTCGCCCACAGTCGTCACGGGGAGGTGTTGGGACATCTGATATCTGCATCCTGCTGACGGTCACACCAATTGTAACACAGGAGACAGCACGCGCAGGAATCTCGATGGCTCCTTCAGAGAAACCACAAAACCCACAGGGAGGGCTGGGTGGAGCAGACGCAGCTTTTATTACTCTCATTACGGGGAGCACGGACCGTGGCAGGTCGGCAGGTCGGCAGGTCAGCGAAGCAGGACCGCCCCTCCCTGAGCCCGAGGCTGGGGTCCCAGACAACAGGGGCCCGTGTCTTGTGCATGACTCTAAACTACATTATCTCAGTGTGTTTGTGCAAAGAGAAAAGGTCAGAAGCAGTCCCATGGGACAAGAAGCCTCTCCCAAAGGGAGAGGAGGAGGGAATTACAATCCATTTCCAAAGCCCTACACACTCCTGGCTGGGGCCCTCAGGCCAGCCTTCCGCATGGGGGGGGGGGGGGTGGGAGGAGCCACGTGCAGCTCCGCCCCACACAGAGTTAACAGTCTACACCTCTGTTTGCAGGGCCGGCCCCGACCCCCCTGGTTTCGGAGGGCCAGAGTGTGGGGGACATGGCGCTCCCGCTGAATCCCTGCGGGGGCAGCTATCTGGGTGCAGGTGAACCCGTTCCCTGATCGCGGGATGGGACATTGAAGCCAAGCCCCTCCTGCGAGGTTGGACTAGGCTTTCCGTCTACGGAGGTGGAGCGGGGTTGAGGAGGCCTCGTCCGTCAGCACTCCGGGGTCGGCGCAGGGGTGAGCTCCAGCCTTCCCCTGGGGTCCCCCATGACAGGCAGCGACAGGGCGACGCAACCTGCCTGCACAGCCAAGGACTTCTTATCTGCTATTCCCTGGGTCCCCAACATGACCCCTCTAGCACCCAAGGACTGAGTCTGAAAAGTCAGCTGTCACCTAGGGTGTCTCCTGCTTCCTGGTGCCAAGCCACTCAGGGAGTAGGGGGAGGGGGTGCTCCGCTCAGCCACCCCTGCACCTCCCTGGCCTTGTCCCTCGCCCCCGAGGAGATTAGTGTCCAGGTTACCCTGCCAGGCCACCACCCCCAGTGGCCTTGCTGCCCGCCCCCACAGCCTGCAGGTATAAGACCAGGTAAACAGGACCGGGAAGCACAGAGGATGGAGATGTTCCAGGTAAGGCTGCAGGGCTGCTGAGTATCTCGCAGCTCCACTCAGGACACAGCCGGCAAGAGGAGACCTGTGACCCGGTGAAGGAAGGCTCTTCCTGGAAGGATGTGGGCAGCCCACAGGCTCCTGCTGGGAGAAGGGGGCAGTGGAGCGGGGCCGAACGCCAGTGCCTGGGGTCCCGGTGCATCTGGAAGGGGGTTCAAAGCGGAGGGGTTGGCCCAGGAGGGAAGCTGTCAGGCGGGGAAGCCGGGTCCGTGAGCGTGTGCTCGCGGGGAACGGGAGGGTGAAGGCCCGGGCACAGGTCTCGGGCTGGCCCTGAGCCTGTGGCCTTATCCCAGGGGCTGCTGCTGTGGCTGCTGCTGCTGAGCATGGGGCGCGCGCAGGTGGCCGGGGAGCCGCTGCGGCCGCTGTGCCGGCCCGTCAACGCCACCCTGGCTGCCGAGAAGGAGGCCTGCCCGGTCTGCGTCACCTTCACCACCAGCATCTGCGCCGGCTACTGCCCCAGCATGGTGAGCTGCCCGGAGCTGGAGCTGGCGGGACGAGCCCTGCCGCCGTGCGGGGGTGGACCCCGTGGGGGGTGCGACAGAAGATGGGGCAGCAGGGTGGAAGGGGGGCCTGCCCCCCACCCCGGGCAGGGGCTGGGGAACTGGAGCCGGAGTTGGACGTGTGGGAGGGAGGGCACAGAGCGCCACCCGGACACGCGAGTCTGAGGCCTGGGCGGGGGGCAGCGGGGAGAGCAGGAGAGGGCTTGGCCCGAGCGGAGGCTCACGCCACTCCCACCCCGCCCCGGCCTCCAGGTGCGGGTGCTGCCGGCCATTCTGCCGCCAGTGCCCCAGCCAGTGTGCACCTACCATGAGCTGAGGTTTGCCTCCATCCGGCTCCCCGGCTGCCCGCCTGGCGTGGACCCGATGGTCTCCTTCCCTGTGGCCCTCAGCTGTCACTGTGGGCCCTGCCGCCTCAGCAGCTCTGACTGCGGGGGTCCCAGGCCCCAATCCTTGGCCTGTGACCACCCCGCCCTCCCAGACCTCCTCTTCCTCTAAGGACCCCCCACCCCAACATCCCATGCCCCCCGGCCCGGGGCCCAGCTCCGGCTCGGGAGCCCACAGTTGGGCCCCTCCCCTCCCAATAAAGGTTTCTCAAATCGCACCCTGGAGTTGCCTTTCTTTGAGTTCAGGGCGTGCACACACAATACACACACGATGCGTCCAGTTTCAGAACCATTTTATACAAAGTCACAGTGTCAGAACTCTGGTAGAAAACGGAGGGGGGAAGGGGGAAGGGGGACCACCAGCTCAGGAGGTGTCCATGGTCTCGCCTTCTGTGGGGAAAAGAAAGGCCATGTGGTCACCGCGGCCCCAGGCCGTGTCCTGGCGGGAGGAGAGGTAGACACTCACTGAGCTCATTGAAGAGGAAGGCGTCCTGGTACTCCTTCATGTACTGCGTGGAGCGCGACTCGTCCAGAAAGAGCGAGTAGACCCGCTTGATGTCGTCTACCTGCACCTCCGTGCCCTAAAGGGCGACAGCGAGACCTCAGTGGGGCCCTTCCTAGGAGAAGGGTCAGGAAAGGGACACTGGGGCCATACTGCCTGGGTTCAAATCCCGCCTTGGCCACCTCCTGGCTGTGGGCCCAACCTCCCTAAGATGGACTTAGTATCAACTTGCAGTCAACAGATACTTAGCTGAGCACCTGCTATGTGTCAGGCTGGGAGACAGAAATAAACTCCTCAGACCAAAGTCCCCTGCCTCTGAAGACGTACGTTCCAGGACTGAGTGCAACGAGCCCCTCGCAGCCCCGGGAACAGCAGGCCGCTCATCTGACCTGGCCCCAAGGGCGCCCGCGGCGGCCTGACCTTGCGTTTCCGGCACACCAGGCTGGCGGCCGTGATGAGCTGGATGGCGTAGCGCAGCGAGGTCTCCAGCCCGATGCGGGTCAGCACTGTGTAGGCGTCCTCGCTCATCTCCACATCCTCCTCCTCGCACCTGCAGGCCGGCGGGGGCGAGGGGCTCAGGCAGGGGCAGGCGGCAAGGCCCTGCCCCTCCCCCGGCCCTGCGCACAGACACCAGTGCCTTCCCTTCCCTCCCCATGGTGCGTCAGAGGCCACTGCCTGGTTGCCCGGCCCTACTTTTTGCAGAACCAGACACTCTCAGTGTCCCCATCTGTCACACAGGGCGGACACCAGCCCCCGCCCTGCAGGCCCACATCCCGGCCCTGCCCGCACCGGATGCGGAGGATCTGCTTTGTGTCCTTTTCGCTGTAGGGAGAGGTGGAGACTATGAGCAGTCGGTCCAGCAGGTCGATGGGGATGCCGTGGGGACTCTGGTAGCTGGTACCCCGGATGCTGAGGAGGGGACACGGAGGGCTGTCAGGGCGGGGCTTCCAGAACCTGGCACTCCATTCCTTCTGCTTGGAGCCGTCCCACCCACCTCCTCCGCCACAGCCCGCTCGCTGGGCCAAACACCACTTAACCTTCAGCTCTGAGCTGAGTCAGTGCCTGACTATGCAGGCGGCCCCGCTGGCTGGTTTGAGCTGGAAAGCTCGACCTGGGATTTCTGGATCAAGGTCCTACTCCCTGTGGCGCCCGGCCCAGCGCAGGGCTTGGCACACGGCAGGAGCTAGAATTTACTATTGGTAGGAGTTACATTCTATAAAATGGGCGCCAACGCTCCATCAGCAAACATGGAACCACTGGTCCTAGGGAAGTGCATGGTTAGGTTCTCGTGTGCCTCTGGTCACAGCGTTTTTGTCGACCAACCAATATGTTGTCTATTTGATGTGCTTGTTTTTTGTTTTTTCTGAGAGTAAAGCTGAGGACAGGAGACAAGGAAGGGCTTAGGCTAGAAGAAGCAACAGGAGAGAGTGCAGGCGGGGCTGCTTCGGTTCAAGGAGAGTCAGAGAAAAGGGGGCCTTGGGGACAGGTTCGGGGGTGAGTCCAGGACAAGCTGCCGCTGCCCACTGCTCCCCTGGTTGCAAGTCTCATGGCATCTCTCGCTGTTTAGGAGATGCACACCCGAGAGGGAAGACGACGGAGGAGGGAAAGGCGGGGTGTGCAGTCCTGGGAGGAGGAGCGTGCCTTTGCTTCTGTTTTAAGACAATTTATTGCCCTGGCCGGTGTGGCTCAGTGGGCTGAGGGCTGGCCTGCAAACCAAAGGGTCACCAGTTTGATTCCCAGTTGGGGCACATGCCTGGGTTGTGGGCCAGGTCCCCAGTAGGGGGCATGCGAGAGGCAACCACATGTTGATGCTTCTCTCCCTCTCTTTCTCCCTCCCTTCCCTTCTGTAAATATCTTTTTTTTTTTTTTAAAGACAATTTATTTAATACGTACTACTGACTCATTCCCACTGAACTCACGGTCAACCGTGTTGTAATTCATGCCTTAATGAAACTCACCTTCTCTGTAAGGCACACCCAACCTTCTCAGGCTTAGGGACACAGGATGGCTGGCGGCCGTTTTAACAAAACCACCAACAAAAAGCACTGAATGTGACAAATGTGTGCTAACCAGATCATGAACAGGACGCTTGTTTACAGCACGCAAACGGAAAGTGGAAAGCAGAGTGTCGCCTTGTCTGAGCTCAGACTGGGGTGCCTGCGTCCGCCTACGTAACTCTGCCAATGACCGTCAAAGCATCACGAAAATCGATTCGGGGGCTGCAGGTACATTTTAGCAAGGAGGCAGGTCCACAGGTACAGAGCCTGCCAGGAAGCACGAGAGAGCGAGCTTCGGCACCACCTGTGAGGGGCCGGAGCGCCGTTCCCACGCCCTGAGCTGCAGTGGCTACAAACACACTCTCAGCGGGTCTCTTCCGGTCCTCCCTCGTCTGGAGGTCAAATTCTACCTTGACCCCAGGCCAGTCACCAGGCCTCGCTGCCAGTTGTAAAAGGGGGGCTGAGACAACATCTGCGTCCTGAGTCTATCTCAAGGTCCAGCACAGTTTTTCTGGGAAAAGGGGTGAGCACAGAGCCAGGGAAAACTCTGCCGTCCCCCGCGGTGGCCGACCCCCTCGTCCTGGCGTGATGACTGGCCCCAGCTGGCAGCGTCAGCTGGCATGTGACTACCGCGCTGGGGATGACAGTCCCCCGCCTCCCGTGCCACCAAGCGCAGCCAAGCACCTGAGTGGGGCAGGAAAACGGGCCTCAGTGGGTGCACGGGGGGCAGCCTCTGGGCCCCAGGCCACTGGGGGCTGTTCGCTCCCCACTTCCTTCTCCCTTCCTCTGGGACGAAACACAGATGAGGTGCGGAAAAGAGCCAGCTGGGAAGACAACAGGACATGGAGCACTGGCCACGCTCTAGGACAGAGGTTCCAAGCTTTATTGGAGCCTGGTGCCCTCCATGTTTCGTGGATTGCCCCAGTGTCCTCAGGCCAAAAGAAACCCTAAGTTCCATTTCATTCATTAAGTAGTTAGATCTGACGACTGAAAGCCAGCTGAGAACTGAGCAAGAGGCATTGTTCCCTCAGACCCCTCCCCAACATACAGCATCACAATGCAGGGACCTGGGCTGCCCCACCCTGGCAAATACCTGAGGCTCCGCCCCTTCCCGCATAACAGGTGCGCTGAGACAAAGGAATGTGGCCCAAATGAAAGAACAGATCAAAGCTCCAAAAACAGAACTAAGCAATGAAGAGACAGCCAACCTACAGATGCAGAGTTCAAAACACTGGTAATCAGGATGCTCACTGAATTGGTTGAGTATGGTCACACAATGGAGGAAAAAGTGAAGGCTACGCAAAGTGAAATAAAGAAAAATACACAGGGAACCAACAGTAAAGGGAAGGACACTGTGAATCAAATCAATGATTTGGAGTAGAAGGAAGAGATAAATACTCAACCAGAACAGAATGAAGAAACAAGAATTCAAAAAAAAAAATGAGGAGAGGTTTAGGAACCTCTGGGACAACTTTAAACATCCAACATCCAAATCATAGGGGTGCCAGAAGGAGAAGAGGAAGAGCAAGAAATTGAAAACTTATCTGAAAAAATAATGAAGGAGAATTTCCCCAATCTAGTGAAGGAAATAGACTTCCAGGAGATCCAGGAAGCTCAAGAGAGTCTCAAAGAAGTTGGACCCAAGGAAGCACACACCAAGGCACATCATAATTACATTCTCCAAGATTAAAGAGGAAAGAATCTTAAAAGCAACAAGAGAAAAGGAGACAGTTATGTACAAAGGAGTTACCATAAGACTATCAGCTGATTTCCCAGAAGAAACCTTGCAGGCAAGAAGAGGCTAGAAAGAAGTTTTCAAAGTCATGAAAGGCAAGGACCTCCATCCAAGATTATTACTCTATCCAGCAAGGCTACCATTTAGAATGGATGGGCAGATAAAGTGCTTCCCAGATAAAGTCAAGTTAAAGGAGTTCATCATCACCAAGCCTTTATTATATGAAATGTTAAAGGGACTTATCTAAGAAAAAGAAGATAAAAAAAATATGAACAGTAAAATGACAACAAACTTACAACTATCAACAACTGAACCTAAAAAAAAAAACCAACTAAGCAAACAACTAGAACAGGAACAGACTCACAGAAATGGAGATGGAGGCGGCGTGGAGAAGGGGGGAAAAGGTGAAGGGAATAAGCAGCCTAGATAGTAGGTACAAAACAGACAGGGGGAGGTTAAGAAGAGCATAGGAAATGGAGAAGCCAAAGAACTTACACGTACGACCTGCAGACACGAACGAAGGAGGGAGGAATGCCGGTGGGAGGGGGGTGCAGGGCGGAGGGGAATAAAGGGGACATAGAATAAAAAGAAAAGAAAGTAGCTGGGTCGGAGAGACTTAACTGCCGTGAGCGCATGCAGTGCCCAACGCATGCTCCTGTGCACCCCTCAATGACCCCACAGAACTCTATGCTCTGTGTAGGGCCCTGGGGCGCCTCGGCACACCGTTTGAGGAACTACACCTTTCTGACGGAAAAATAAGGTCACTGGGCTTCCTTACAGAGCAGAGCTGGAAAATAAGGAAAAATCAGCCCTGACCGCCCACCTACCTTGTTTGAGGGAGAAGGGCCCGCGCTCCCCTCCGGGCCGCAGCCCTTGTG